TTTCCCCAAGAGGAATTTCATAAGCTGTTTAGGAGTTGCATCATAAACTGGGGTTGAGTTGATCATTTAGCAGGTCCATGTTCTTATGGGAAATTAAGCAGCATTGCCTCAGAGTCAAAATTTTGGAGTTTCTAGATAAAATGAATCCCAACCTAAAATGGTGAATCTGATGCCAATATTGATCTGATGTTAATAGTACTCATACACTCTAAGTTTTTGTTTTGTTTTGTTTTCAGTGTTAGGAATAGAACCTAGGCTTCATGCATGGTAGGCAAGCACTCTTACTCTTGAGCTACATCCCAGCTCCTATCCTAAGGTTCTTCATCAGTTACCAACCTGGATTTTGAGTGTGTTTCTACTTTTTTACTGGAGCAAACCACACTGGGATTAACATTCTTACACATGTACTTTTTAAATCTATAAGTATCCTTTTACTACCAGGGAAAATTGTGAGTGCTTGATCCTAGCAGGGAGTCATGGAACCCAATTCAAATGTATTGCCTTATGCGGAACCATAACACATCTCTGTTCCTGACGCAGGCAGCATGTCTTTGCCTGAATTTTTACTATAATTCCATGTGCAAAGGGAGTTTGATGCTATCTTATTCTTTTGGGCAAGAGCCTTCTTCTAGCTAAGGCCAATGGAAGTAATAGCATATAATATGGTCGGATGTGGTGACATGCCAGTAATCCCAGTGTCTTGGGAGGCTGAGGCAGGAGGATCATGAGTTCAGCCTCAGTAAAAAGCAAGGTGCTAAGCAACTCAGTGAGATCCTGTCTCTAAAGAAAATACAAAAAAGGGCTGCCTCAGTGGTCTCATTCCCCTGAATTCAATCCAGTACCAAAAGAAAAGCATATGCATAGACAGAATTGTGTCCCTCCATTTATATGTTGATGCACTAATCACCATATGGTTATACCTGAGGTGTCTTTAGGAGGTAATTAAGATTAAATAAGTTCATTATATTGTTATATATACAATATGTGTGTATACAAACTTGCAACAACAAATCCTACCATTAAATACAACCACAATGCACCAATAAAATAAAGTGGAAAAAAACGATTAAATGAGCTCACAAAAGTAGGACTCTAATCCCATAGAACTGTGACCTAATAAGAATTCTCTTCTATGCCACAGGAGGACACAGCAAAAGGTGACCATCTACAGCAAAAGGTGACCATCTACTCTGGTGGTGACCCCCACCAGAGTCGTCCATCCTATTGCCTTGATTTTGGACTTCCAGCTTCCAGAACTGTGAACAAATAAATTTCTGTTGTTTAACCTACCAAGTTTGTGGTATTTCGTCATGGCAGACTGACATTCATTCATTCATTTTTTCTTTTCTTTTTCTTTTTGTCAAAATACTTGGTGGCAGTAACAGAAATCCAATTGGAATTAGCTTGGGGGAAAAATCCTTCAAGAAATTCTAAGAAGTTTTTTGCTGTTGTTTTTTATTTTTGCTTGAGTACTGGGGATTGAACCAGGGGTAGGTTCTTAACCACTGAACCATTTACCCTGCCCTTTTTATATCTTATTTAGAGACAGGATCTTGCTAAGTTGCTGAGGCTAGCACTTTGATGCCTGGGTTGGTCTTGACTTCCTTGGCTAAAGCAACTCTCTTACCTCAGCCTCTCAAGTAGCTGGGACTTTAGGCATGTGCTACCTATCATTTCTGACTCACTGTAGTTTTTTTTTAAAATATATATTTTTTAGTTGTAGATGGACACAATATCTTTGGTTTATTTATTTTTATGTGGTGCTGAGGATTGAACCTAGTGCCCCATGCATGCCAGGCAAGTGCTCTACCACTGAGCCACAATCCCATCCCTGATCCCGTAGTTTTGATTTGCACTTCTCAGATGACTGGGATGTTGACCATCATTTATGTGCATTTACTGATGTTTTTCAGAGAAATGCCTATCCAAATATTGGTTCATTTTTAAAAAACTGAGTTATATTTGTCTTTTCATTGTTGAATTTCAAGAGTTCTTTATATTTCTTGGATGCTAATCCCTTACAAGACAAATGATTTGCAAATATTTTCCCCCATTTTTTGTGGATTATCATTTCACTTCTTTGAGAGTGTACTTTAACACACCATTTTTAGTTTTTTTAAAAATATTTTTTTAAAAGAGAGAGTGAGTGAGAGAGAGAATTTTTTTTTAATATTTATTTTTTAGTTCTCGGTGGACACAACATCTTTGTTTGTATGTGGTGCTGAGGATCGAACCCAGGCCACACACATGCCAGGCGAGCACGCTACCGCTTGAGCCCCAGCCCCAGCCCACCATTTTTAGTTTTGATGAAATCAAATTTATCTATTCTTTTGTTGGCTGAGTTTTTGGTACCATACCCAAGAAATCCAAATCATGAAGATATATTCCTGTTTTCTTCCAGGAGTTTTGTAGTTTTAGCTCTTATATTTAGGTTCTATGATCTTTTTAGAATAGAGGTAGCAAGTCCAACACCATTATTATTTTTTTTATTGGTTATTCAAAACATTACAAAACTCTTGACATATCATATTTCATACATTCGATTCAAGTGGGTTATGAACTCCCATTTTTACCCCAAATACAGATTGCAGAATCACTTCGATTACACATCCACAGTTTTACATAATGCCATATTAGTAACTATTGTATTCTGCTACCTTTCCTATCCTCTACTATCTCCCCTCCCCTCCCCTCCCATCTTCTCTCTCTACCCATCTGTTGTAATTTAATTCTTT